ACACACACACACACACACACACACACACACACACACACACACACACACGCGCGCGCGCGCGCGCGTAATAATAATAATTGTTCTACATGTATTACTTATTCTGACATTTGATATGTTAAGATAAGCAGCAGGTAATTGCACAAAAAATAGATAACTCGCATGTTATAGTAATATAAAAGTTAAGCTTCGTTGTTTTCTTGTAACTTTATCTTGAGATAAAGAGCTTAAACTAAATTTTTAATAATACAGATTTATCGCATGCTTAATATTTTATAGATGATTCTTAGAAATATATATTTATATAATATATTTAAAAATAAATTATAAAAATATGGTTATAAAATGGTTATAAAATTTTTAATATATGTTTTAATATAATAAATGTCAAACAGAATTTTTTCTATCAAAAAAATTTTCAAAAATGAAGTTCTCTTATTATTAATAATAATATATCAACAAAAATCTTTTAAATTTTTATGGATTTTATATAATGATTATCAATTGAAGCACAAATTTTCATTATTTTAAAGGCATTTTAAATGCCTTTAAAACAAAATAATAATGAAAATTAATTAATATAATAATTAATATATACATTAATATAGTAATTAATATATACATTATACTTTAGCATATTTCAACGAGGAACATTGTATATAATTCTGATAATAAGTTAGCTAAGTAGAGCTCATATTGCGTTGTAGTTTCTATCAAATTATGAATTAATTTGTTATGAGTTAATATATCGCCAAGTGGAGGTCACTTTATCCTTCCTTCCAGTTAAAAAACTTGGATTACTATCAGTGAAGAACGATAGCCTGCTCAACTTTTCACGACGTCACCAGCTGATAATCGATCCTACTGTTTTAGTACGAACGTATTAATTAATGTCCATTGTAATGGGACATTCGAACCGTATCGGTGATTCTATCGTATGCTGAACGTGTCCCAGCACCTTTACGACGACTTGTCTTATCCCGTTATTGCTTCACAATAATTTTCTCGCTTCTGTCGCAATGATGATTTCACCGCGGCCGAAAGTGCTCGCAATTATTATGCTCAAATCAACACACTAACACATCGTAAATTACGCTTCTCTAGTTCGCCAAAACAATATGATGTATTTGATAGGAATGGAATTATTCAGTGCAATCGAATCATGTTACGCGATGTGAAATTTAGTAGAAACTTTTTTCGCATAACATATAACTAAAAATTTTGAGAAACAATCGTATTTTTCCAGAATTTCAATAATTCCTTCAATGTGGCTCTACATCATCATAAGATTTCGTAATTCTTTTTGTACTCATAGGAACGTATGATTATTTTGACAAAGTGAATGCATAAATCCGAACTTAAAAATAAAATATTATCAATATTTACAAGTATATATACATTATACATACGCAATGTATGTTTTTATAATTAATAGCAGAGGATAGTTAAAAATAAAGAGAGAAATAATATTTTAAATATTACCTTCAAAAACTGCAAATAAAGGATTATATAATGCACAATCGATACAAAATCTAACTTTCATAAAATTATAAAAATAAATATCCGTCTTAAGTTAAACAAAATTGCACCTATCGAAAACATTGTCTTTAGTACTAAATATTGGAATTAATTGTCCTTTGATGTTTAGAGTAGATGGATCCATCGTTATCATTAATAATTCAAACAGTAAACATCCGATTATAATATAAAAATAAAATATTAAATAAAAGAAAAAGCAACTTCAAAAAAAATTCTCTGATTTTTCAAAACGTAAGACAAATTTCCTGAGAACTCAAGGTTTTCTAAGTGATACTTTGTAATAGTTTTTTATATTTGAATCGCTTTATCTTTTTTTTGTATTTACTCTACTTTCTTCTACTTAATTTAACATTCTAACATCTATTTAATTAGTCGCCACACGGTGTTTTCTATATTGCCTCGTGCAGATGTTTGACATTCGAAATTTCGTGACAAATTTGCGACACATAAGTACTACCGTAAGTACTACCCGTAAAATCTACCGCGCCATCTCCACCTTTCCCGCGCAAAAGGCGTTTTTAATCATCGATCATCATAATGATTCGCACTAATCCATCACTTTCCCTTACCCGCGCCTTCACCGCGACGAAACTTTCAGTCCCAGCACGTCGTTGAAAGTTCAACCGCTGTTTCGTCCGGTAATTATTTACGGTTAGCGTGAGGACGACGAAAAGTGCGTGCCGGAGTGCGAAGGCGAGAATCGGAGAAAGTCGTCGCGGAGGAAATCGCTCTAAAACAAACGACGTCGACGTCCATTGCAACGAGCCCCCCTTGTCACGCAGAAATGACAGCGCACGTGCGCTACTTGCGCAAAAAAAATATACCCCTCCCGTCTAATGACCGGTAATCAAATCGCGAATCGCGGTGTCGGTCCTCGAATGTCACGTTCGTCATACAAATGGACTGACATAAAAAAGACCGTTTAATTACCTGGATGTAAAAAAATATGGAGACAGGTGAAAAACATAAGCAAAATAACAACGCCGATCGAGACGTCGAAATTTCGTTTCATCTGGGACGAAAAGCGCCCAATTACAATTCGTCCACATCCGTCACGCGTTACGAGGAATTTCACCTCGCCCAGTCACGCGGCCCCTTCGTACGGATGTGAAAACGAGTTTATCCAAACGATTATTGCCCATTGAGAAAGGAATATTATTCGAAAGCGGGATCTGTAATCGATTCGATTTCCGTAGCGTATAATCTACTTTCCTCCGCAAGACAAGTTCAAGGTCATGGAAAATAAATTACAAATTATTCAATAAATTATTGCGTTCTCATTTCAAGAATATGTAACTCGTTTTATAATGTAAGATGTATATTTCATTGTATTTTAATCAGAAATAATCGACAGGGAGAGAGAAAGAGAGGATAAGTTGAGAAGAGATCAACATTGTCTTTATATTGTATAGAATTGTATTTTCTTGTGTTATTAGAAACATTACAAATGTTCTGTATTTACGGAACGATGTTTATATCAATGCGCAATATATTCATATATGTGGCATTTCTTATTTTATCATAAGTACAATTCAATATTGTCTGATAATTCTAGAATGATTAGATCTGTTCATAACTACATTATAACTACATTATCACAAAAGTTTATAACAGTAGTATTTACATCATTTATACTAGAGAGAATAAACATATAATTATTTAAACATTTATATTAAACAAAAGATACAAGAGCCCTTTAAATGTTTTAAAAAGTTATTTATATTTTGCTATAAATGATATATATAATACAAATTTCAGAAATGCCAAGGTGCAATCACTTCTTAAGATTGAGATACCTATTCTCATCAAAAGTATCCTCAATTTCCTCCGTTATAACCACCTTTGTTTTTGGCTTACGCATTTCGAGTCTCCTTTTCTGTTCTGCCTCTGATAATTCTGCCATATTTACTGGCAGGGTTATTATCTTCCGTGGTTCGTGATACTGAATCTCTATACTACTTCCATCGGGAAAAACAAGTGTTGTAGGATACGTCCGTTCGTACACCGTTCTGTGCTTCTTTGTAATCGTTGCTGACCAACAATTAAGATTTCTACGGAGACCAATCGCAGAGCTGCCAATTCGTGCGAATGAAGTGATCATTCTGAAATAAATATGAATATTTTCAATATACAAAGTATATTATTATATACGTTCCTAAAAAGTGTTCCTAAAAGTGATTTATTTTCTTTCTTCCTTAACCAATATATAATCTGAGCTGTTGGATCTAAGTTTATCTAAGTGATGTCTATTTATATCAAAGTAGATTTCGGTTTCTTATTTTTTTTAATAAGGATTAGAAAAAAATAAAAAGTAAATCGAGAATTAAAATTAGTTAACGTTATAAAAACAGATATATCTCATGTTTTTTTGCAGCACTTTTTATAGGTTATGTTGTCCATTTAGATAATATCGAACGTATTGAATGTCTAGCTTCTCTGCTTAGAATAATTTCACGTTATTAAACTATTGTATTTTACTTATGAAGAATCAAAATTTCATAACAATAATCAAAGATGCTTACCTGCCAAGGTGATCGACGAAACGAGCGACCTGACGCAACGACTTGAAGCTCTGCGCAGTTGAGCGATCGGGATAGTCACGTGGCGCTCCCGCGCGACCAATCGGCGACGGCGATGGCGGCCGCGCGCGCTGCCGAGTGCAATCGATTTGCGATTATCGAAGCTTTCGAAATGTGCGTCCCGCCAATTCGCGCGATTTTTTTTTTACACGGATAATGCGTGCTTCTTGCGTGCGAATCTTGAGAAACGGAGAGCGAGACAAGGATTGACCATGGCTCGCAATAGTGTGCGTACCACATAAAACGGTGAAGAGAAGTGCCACAATTGGATCTCATTGGGAGGAAACGGCGGGAGCGAGGGAGATAATTAACAAAAAAATAACAACATCCATTGTCGATCGCAACTCGCGACAGAAAGAGGACGCGGACTGTTCTCGTGTGCAACTCTCGTGAGACACATAAGATATACGTGTTGATCGTATGCGAGGAAAGAAGATCGTGTTGCGATGATCGTGTTACTCTTAAGCTTTCGGGGGGGGGGGAAGAAGGGGAGGTGTAGCGAAAAGCGACACGTGTTTTCATGCGCTGCACGAGTCCTCGGGTTCCTCTTGGCAATGGCCGGGCAGCTCAACATAGTCCTTGCGATTCCTGCAAGGAAAGGATTACGATATGTTCTTTAAGTAGATCGTGTGGCGAGCGGCGATCTCGGAGATTCGTCGATCTTATATTTAACACGTTTAGGGAAAGAAAGAGCAAAATATAGAAAAAGAGAGAAAGAAAGAGCATCGAGTCTTTCGCCAGAACGCCGTTAAAAAGTTGTGTTAGATTGGTTAGTTGAGAGTTAGTAAAGTTAGCAAACTGGATTAACCCGGGAATAAAAAAAAAAATGACCGACTCCTCTGGCGTGAAGCGGTAAAAGACGAAAGTTCCGATAAACATTCGCAGCTTCATTTTTTATTTTATCATTACAATTCGCTTTGAAAATATATACAAATACTTTCGTACATGATTATTTGCACGAATAATTATTATTCTTTCAAATAGAAAAATTTGTTGTTTAATAGCAAAATTGAAGAAAACTTTTCATCTTCGGAATTGAAGATTTTTGAGGACCAATTTCGCGATATGAACGTTATATAAACGAGGTTTATATTTATCGATGAAACTTTCAAATATTTTTATACACTCGTATAAAAACGTATAATTTGAAATAAAAAGAGGATAAAATAAAAATTTATTCCCGGGTTAATGACAAAAAAATGATACACACTCGTCTAGTCACAGATACACAAAATCATATTGATCGAGCACTCAAATAATTTACTCGGATAAATATTTTTCGAAATTATATCTAAAATCGCCGCAATCTATATAATAATCAAAATAATAATAATAATAAACGTAAACGCGGAACATGCTTCATGCGTATGATTAACTGTGATTCTTACATTTATCCTGGAGCAAATAAAATCTAGCATACTCTACTGATGTATAATTTAATGTGATACTATTTCATGTAATATCTAAAATATTCAGAATCTAAAATATCTGTAATTATTTTAAAAGAGAATTTAATTCATTGCGTAATGAATGAAATAGTGAATTAGGTAAAAATAATAAAAATGGATCCTATTTTAAAATAAAGACTGGCTCTACAAAATATTTTTTATTACAATGTTAATGCAAGTCTCTAAATTCTTAAAAAAATTATCTACATTAAAAATTTTTCAATATTTATGTACACAATCTTTTCTTTAATATTTATATTTCAATGCCAATTTTTTATAATTAATAATTTATTTGGCAATGATATCAAATACGTAATTTCTTTGAAAAAACTTGTCCTGAAATTGCATGGTTCGTTTTAAATTTTTGAACAGTAAAAATGTTTAAGATACATCCTAAAGGTAAGATGTCTCTGGGATATTTCTGTGATATATTTTAGACATTTCTGCTGCGTGGGAAGTATGTTGTCTGAGTTGATGTTAAAATTATTCATTATTGTTCTGTGACAATGTATATATTATATTTTCAATTTAAACCTAATCAAGAATTAAATTTACAATAATATTTATAAAAATTCTGTCATACTTATAATACTGATTCATATACTTTTTGACTTAAATTAAATAAAATCAAATAACGAAGATTATAAAAGTAAAATATATTTATGTGTATGCAAAAATTATTTTTTTTATATAAATAATATTATATACATACACACAAATGTCTCATTTATATAATTTTTTAAACACTGCTTTTTAGAGAACGCTCTCTATGGAATGTTTTCATAATAAATATTTCAATATTATAAAAAAAAGAATATACAAAAGCGTGGATTCATACATGCATATATCCATTTTGCACGCATGAACTTTGAACTTTTTACCTAATTGTATATTATATATGATAATGATAAATGAGAAAATATTCATGCAGAGATTTATGTAAAATAATATAAAAATCATTTATATATAAAATATGGATCAGGAAAATATTTTAAGAAGGGGAAATTAAGTCCTCGTCGAAGAGTCGCTATATTCTGCCATTCAGGTCAATCACCTTCTCATTGCTATGTCTGTAAAATCAAAATTTCGCTCTACCTCACGTCTATTGCTCATTAAATAGATGAAAGGGAATAAAATATTTATGTATATATATATATATATATATATGCGATTAATGAAATCCATTTATAAATATGGATATTCTATTTTCATACAAAAATGTGTTCAATGCTCTCATTATTAATATATTCAATTAAATAACACAATTAAATTAATATTACAAAATATTACAAAATATCAAAGTTAACTGTTATATTAACAGTTAGTAAAATCATGCATTTAACAATACTTATTCTAGTACAATATACAATTAAAAATACAATACAAAAAATAGTGAACACGTATGCTTCCCACATGCATGAAATATTCGTTAGTGTGAAAACTTAATCCACAAGATGTTATTTTATTAGTGGCATAGGTTCAGGATACCTAAAAAGTTATACAATAAAATGGCATGCAACGAAAAAAAGATACAAAGCGCAGACAATATTAAAGCATGCATATATACATACCTGTACAGAACATAATGCTGTATTAGGAAAAATATATCAAATGCCACGGAAAAAAATCCAAGACCGAATTTAGTCGGATCTCCGAAAATACTTTCCCAATCGTCTAACATAAAAATTATGATGTTAATGTTACGAGAATTGATTTTGAATACGCGAAATATAAAAGTAAATTCGATTCCACATTCGTATCTTTACCATAGTTAAAAGCATTGAGTATCATCTGTAACATTGACAGAATGCCACCAGTAAAATCTAGGAATATATTTCCTATACTCCAGCCGATAGTCGATTTCCTTCTATAGTTATAAAACGCTTGTGGCACGTATTTAATAAGCGTTATGCTAAGCTTAATGTAGCTACAATAATAGAGGAAATCTAGCCACTGGATTGTCTTGACGCAAGATAATATCAAAGATATTAGTAGAAAAACTGCAAATATGCTGTGAATAATACGTGCAGTCGTTGATACTCTTTGATTGCCAATCTATAGTAAAAATGAATATGATTATATCTCAGTTGCGATGGGCAGCTATCTTGGAAACACAAGCTCAATTACCTCATAAATAAAGCATTGTCCTACAGTTACTGAAGTAGCAAATACTGCGTGTAGCGAGAAAAATATATCATTGATTTGTACAGGATTCAAGCCTTTTGGATATCGTGTAAAATATTGATTCTGAAAATATTTTAATACATTAATGGATTGTTATATACACACATACACGTGCGTACATATTGTTGTATTTCGTATTCTTATATCAAAGAATTTTTATTTATAAAATATTTCTTTTTTTCTGTGTTGATGCTCTCACACTTTTTGTATATACTTTTTGTATATATTTTATTAGAAAATGTAGAATGAAGAATTCCGTTCATAATAATTGCGTAAAGCACGTAAAAAATATCAGACAAACATGACGGTATCTTACCTCAATCTCCGGTATCCAATAGAGGCCACAGTTAAATAACGCGTACATAATAAAACCCACGAGATTTAGTGAGACATAATCGAAATTAAGACCCACAACACTTTTACGTTTATAATTAGTATAGATTTGTGCATAAAAACTTATGCTCCATGCTACAAAATATATCCATCCAACCACAGCACTGATGTGGTACAATACGTCTGATTTCTCTATAGTCACTCTAACAAACGCTTTAGAGAAACTAAAAAAAAATATATAAAGCGGTTACATTTCGTGTGTACACATTAAAATACTATTTAAAAAAGATATGTTGCGTATAATATGTAGGAATTAAAAATCAAATTTGCTCACTTTAAATCGATAGTATCTAATTGATCTCGCGGTATAATAATAATTTTATACATAGACATCTTTCCACAGTTTTTATAGTTATTACAAATTTTCACGATAAAATTATTTAATAATTTTTGGGGAATCGATTTTAAAAAGCACTATATTAAGTTTATAATACAACAGTTTATACTCCAGAATGCGTAGACATTTCGTCACTGATTTCGTAATTTTTATTTATTCATATCACGAGAATATTAAAATCATTAAATATTAAACGAGTTTAGGTACGGCACCGTAATTGAACTAGGAAGCAGTCTGTTCAAAATCTAAAGACAGACTAACAAAATTTCAAGTTTTGTTTCAGCTTGGTTGACAAGTTTAGGTCGAGAGGCTATCTGTGCAGTCTTAGCTAGCAATCTTAGTGCAGTGGAATGCTGATCAGAACCTTTTCATAATTAGTCATGAAAAGAAAGATAGTGTGAGAGAGAGAGAGAGAGAGAAAGAGAGAGAGAAAGAAAGAGAATAAGTGAAGGCATCAGTGCCATAGGTCTCTGCTCCCTACTGTTTATTGTGAATACTTGATTATGAATACTCATACCAAATAATATATATGTTCGTAATCAGCTGTTATAAAAACATCAATGATTAGAGTTTACAAGAATAAACTTAAACAGTTTCAAAACGTAGAAAAATCATCAAATCTTTATATAAAAACGTTCCATTACATATACTTACTCTGTAATATTAGGAGTTACATTAACATTAACAATCGAATGACCTGCACTTAGGCCTTTTACATAAATTATCCATTCTTTTTCTCCTGCTGTAATTTTAAAGTTGGATGGTTCTGCAGATAACAGATCGGAATGCTGGATATCTATCGTAACTGTTGCAATTTTGCCATCGGGTAAAGGTTCCCTGCAAAAATAAGAAATATGATTGATAATCTCATTTTTAATATATACTCAAGGTTATAATTATAAAGCATATTGAGATAAGTTAATCTGTCTATCAAGCATCTATAATTGAATGATAAAGTATAAAGTTCAAAGATAATGTTAGATTTGAATATTCATTATCCGCCTACTGTTATCAATACTCTTAGAAATGATAAAATAAATGATGTCACATGATATCATCATGACATGCTCAGATTAAACAAAATGTAGGTGAAGATAATAAAATGTTGGCGTACTGATTTCTAAGCGCTTTCTTTTATTCGCATATACAAAATAAATTTCTGACAGCATGCTTGATTCGTTTGCAGATGCAAGTAACAACTGTAACAATAGTATGGACATATATAAATGTTTCTGAAAGTAATATGGGTGTTCATACTTGATTTCAAATATAATAGTCAATAAAATCTGTACTCTATAGTATGGCCTGACATAACAGCTTAAGTTAGTAATGATACACAACAAGCTACTCACGTCAGTGATAAGTTGAACGAATTCTTCTTATTGACCTGTACTTTCAGATCCTGTGGTGATGCTTTGAGCGCTCCCTGAACACATGTTAAAGCTGCAAACATGAAAGATATTGTAACAAACAGTAGCGAAACCGAAGACATTTCTACGTCTTACCAGATAACAGCAGGACCCACACGTAACTCCGCGAAGCCATATTTCACGTTGACTGAAACATGACAACGCACTACGTTTTTAGTTCGGTATTATCGCTGCATGTAATGAGGTAGCATTTAGCGTCAATCATTATTTCAGTGACACCGTTATCATCGCGATCTTTCACGACGTCACGCGTGTGCAAGGAGTTAAGGCTCGCATCGATGACACTTGGCATGCGAACGCGGAACGCACGGAGTGGGCAGTTCAGGGCAATTTAACCTCAAAATATGGGGGGTCATCGCAACTAGTCGCGCGATGCGATGACACTTGATGCACTGCCGCATCTCGTTATCGCTGACTCTTTATCGGCGTTACTCATTGATGATTTCGACGATCGACGGATCGTCTCGCGAGGACGTTCGAATTTCCGTAACTGTCAAATTGTGTGCATCGAGCGACGATGTTAACGATGTTGATAACGTCGACGAATACCATTTGTCGTCGTCGTCGTCAACGTTATTTCTTCGGATGACATTAATAAACACTAATACATGTTGCGCATAATCTCGATACGTTTCGCGGTAAACTGATAAGAAATGACAGAACGCGATATTGACTATGAGCACGTGATGCGCACAGCTGGAGTAACGTTTGGCGGCAAGAAATCAAAAGTCTCGCGGGGATGATCCGCAAGTTAACAAACTTATAGATCCGAGCTTGTATGTTGCTAAAATACATGCTCATCAATATGAGGAATAATAAGGTGATTAATTAAAGAAAAATAAAAACTAATTTAAAGAAAAATAAAACATAATTTAAAATTAAGTATATAATTAAGAAAATAAGAATAAAATAAAAATAATTTTGATTTTCTTATAAGTAGAATAAATAATTAGAAGAAATATAAAAGTAAAATATAATTTAAAAATAAATAAAAATAAATTAAAACATAATAAAAAATTTGGATGCTTGTTGTTTTTATATGTATATTAAAAATATACTACAAGATTTTTTTAGAAATTTTATAAGATTTTAAAAAAAATTAAAAAGTGAACAGATAACACGCGCTATTTGCTTAAAAAAAAATCAATGTTTTGATAACACTGCGAATTATAAGAAATTTTTTTAATAAGATACGTAGATTAAAATATTATCTTTTTCGTTTAGTAAAAATAAAAATATCCGAGAATGATATGCACGAAAAATTCACACGTAAGATAACATTAATTAACGTTTCTTTTTGCAATAGATTAGAACTTTTAGTTTTTAAAAAAGTGATTTGCAATTTATTTAAATTATAACGTTAATCTTGCATAATCAGACAGTGTTGCGCAAATTCTTATTAAGTAATAAATGTTATACATCGTGAACTAATGATAACATTCCTGTTAGAATTATAAAATTATCATCGTGTGTATTGCATCAATTATAACATTTTTTCTTAACTAATTTATCTTATCTCACTTGGAAAGAATTTTGATGAATTTTTTATTTTCATTTTTACTTATTATTAACTTTAAATCCAAAATTATCCAAGTTACTTTAATGCTATTATTATTTTAATATTATTATTTAAATATTATTATTATAATATTTAAAAAATTATTAATAATATTATTATATTATTATTTTAAAATTTCAATTAACTATTTTTATCATTATAAAGTGCGTGACTACAAGAATTTTCGTATTGAAAATAGGAAAAAATTTTATTCGAAGAGAAATTTTCATGACGCCGACAATATAAAGTCCATATTTACTTATTATTTTCTTAAAAGCAGGAGAAGCATTTCCATGCAAGACTTCTCGACAGGAAATTTCCAACCATCAAAAATTCTTTTCTTTTTATTCGTATGTATGTATGTGTTTTATCGAAAGTTATTTGCTTTATTCTAATACAGTGTTCGTTCAAATATAACAGTGAAACTTTTATTTAAGAGCATCTGAAGAAAATCTTTTGTAGGAATTATTCAATCGAACATAATTGTTTCAAATACATAAAAATATGATCTTTACATATTCACCTAATGATGTACAGAGGAAGAAAGAAAATTTAATTAATTGCAACTTAGTATTAATTAAAATTAACTCGATTAATCAAAATGCTCAAAGATCGTTTCGATTTCACTGGTTTCATCGCTTAAACGATTGGCTGTCTCTTCCTTTCGTTGTAGATTAAAAAACGAGCATTCAGAGTTTCGTGTATTATGTCTATCATCAATTCACGCGATTTCGTTGGCTATTTCCGTTCAATTCCGTCACACTTCACTCGCTCTTTTCCTTTTCTCTGTTTTCGCACTTAATGCTTAGTCGACGATAAACTTAATACGCTTTAGTGGGTCAAGTCTCGGTGAAGTTCCACCAAGATTGCGGAAAGGCCAGCACGTATTCCAAAGGATAGAAAAAAAGGCATGAGAAGTATGATAACGACTAAGCGAAAGAGAGAAAGAGAAAAAAAAGAGAGAGGAGGAGAGAGAACAATATGTCGAATGCGGCACGGAATGACGAAGACAAACGAGATTTACTTTTACGTGCCATAGGAAATTCGCGTGATAAAAAAGATAAAAGAAAGGCAGATTTCGTGAACGAAAAGAGCAACCAAGAGCAGGTTTAATGCTAATAATAAATTGCACGA